CCATCAAATGAAATGTGAATAACCCATCCTTCCCTCTTTAAAACAAGGGGCACTTCTAGTTCTGTCAGTGCTTAAAACAATTTTGTCTTCTCCATATTACTATATCTCTAGAGTCAATAATTTTATATGAGGAACTATTGAACTCAATCACTTGCTGCTGTTACTCTTTAGTTTTCTGTTGAGGTCTATCTTGTAGAGGTACTTAAAATTGGATTAGTGATTGATTTCTAGGTTTCATCGTAAACCTAATTGGTTACTTCCAATTATATAATCAATAGTTCAAACTGCACTTAAAGGTAGGGCATTCCCATTTTTATAGAACTTTTGTACTAGAAATAATAGTATCTCCAATTATAGCCCCTCTGGGATGTATATATATCTTTTCTCATCATCCCCATAGTTTATGAGACAAATGTATGCATTTGATTAGGGTCATATTCTATGGTTATGATTTTACCATATATGTCTTTTCATTCCATTAAAAATTGATTTTACAGTATAGATGCTTATGACCTCTCCCTTTATGCCCTGTGGTAATGATTCCTCTGGCATTACGACCTTTACCACAACGATGTTATCCATAGATCAAATTATTTTATGGATTGGATTTCACTTGACTATCTATGGCTCCATTGCATGTGCTCAGGGTAGAAGTTTTGTATAAATGTATCGCCATGCTATTAAGTATTTTGATTTAAGTTCTTTTCTTTCTAAGAGGTAAAATAGAATAACTCGATTGAAGCGTAATGATCATACGTCTGTAATGCATTATATGTCCCATAATAGGTCCCATTCTATTACCCTTTACTGGGATTTGATGACTATTCATAACTATTACCTTGACACCAAAGAAGAGTTTGACCTAATGCTTATTTTTGTCCTAGTTGATTATAATTTGACATTAGAAATATATTGATTTTTCCTTAATAACCGAATACTTTTGTCTGTAAATACTACATATTTGATTCCATCTATAAATCTATTTTCTTCCTTATAAGTTCTAGTCTCAATAAGAATGCTAGTTCTTACTGTTCATATGTTATGTTATGAATATACTACACCAATTTGTTATATACGGATGATGAGATTCCATTGATACAAAACCAATCTAATAGACTTATTGGATGGTCCCATTGGCGTGCATCTAATAGGAATTGAACCTATGACTTCGCTAATTATAAGTTGGATGCTTTAACTATTCAGCCATGGATGCTTAGCGGGGATCCTCATACATAGTGAATAACCAAATTCCAATTGAAATGAAATCTTTAGGATAAATCAATGCAATTTAGGAGGACTCAATGAAAGGACATCAATTCAAATCCTAGATTTTTAAATTGAGAGAGATATTAAGAGAGAATAAGAATTCTCACTATTTCTTAGATTCATGGACCCAATTCAATTCAGTGGGATCTTTCATTCACATTTTTTTTCTATTAAGAGTGCTTTATAAAACTCTTGGACTCCTGAATTTGGAGTATCCTACTTTCATGCAATTCACTGGGTTCAACAAGCAATCGATATTTCACGATTAAGGGTGTAGTACTCTCTGTAGTAGCAGTCCTTATATATCGTGTTAACAATCAAAAGATGGTCGAAAGAAAAAATCTCTATTTGACAGGGCTTCTTCCTATACCTATGAATTCTATTGGACCCAAAAATGATATATTAGAAGAATCTTTTGAGTCTTCCAATATCAATAAGTTGATTGTTTCACTCCTATATCTTCCAAAAGAAAAAAGATCTCTAAGAGCTCTTTCCTAGATCTAAAAAGAGAGTACTTGGGTTCTCCTAATAACTAAAAAGTGTATTATGCCTGAATCAGAAAAAAGAGATATTCTAGTTGTAAAATATCTAATAAAACCGTCGCTGGAATTGAGATCTCATTCAAAGAGAAAGATATCAAATATCTGGAGTTTCTTTTTTTATATTATATAGATGATCCTATCCGCAAGGACCATGATTGAGAATTGTTTGATTGTCTTTCTCTGAGGAAGAGGCAAAACATAATCAACTTAAATTCGGGACAGCTATTCAAAATCTTAGTGAAAGACTAGATTTATTATCATGTTTGCTTTTCGTGAAAAAATACCAATTGAAGTGGAGGGTTTTTCAAACAACAAGGAGCTGGGTCAACTATTCAATCAAATGATATTGAGCATGTTTCCCATCTCTTCTTGAGAAACAAGAAGGCTATTTCTTTGCAAAATTGTGCTCAATTTCATAGGCAATTCCGCCAAGACCTCTTTGTTAGTTGGGGGAAGAATCCACATGAATTGGATTTTTTTGAGGAACATCTCGAGAGAGACTTGGATTTGGTTAGACAATATTTGGTTGTTAAACAAGGATTAGTTTTTTAGCAAGGTACGGAATGTATCGTCAAATATTCAATATGATTCTACAAGATCTAGTTTCATTCAAGTAACAGATTCTAGCCAATTGAAAGGATCTTTTGATCAATCCAGAGATCATTTCAATTTCATTAGTAATGAGGATTCAGAATATCATACATTGATCAATCAAAGAGAGATTCAACAACTAAAAGAAAGATCGATTCTTTGTTAGAATCCTTCCTTTCTTCAAACGAAATGAATAGAGATAGAATCAGAGCGATTCCCTAAATGCCTTTTTGGATTTTCCTCAATGTCCCAGCTATTCACGAAACGTGAGAAGCAGATGAATAATCATTCGCTTCCGGAAGAAATTGAAGAATCTCTTGGGTACAAGATCTATTCATTTTTTTTCTTTGAAAGATTTTGATTTGGGCCAAGGATCGAAGATTTATTGGGTTCTCAAATAATACATAGTGCGATACAGTCAAAATAGGGTATTCTTTTCTAATAAAAAAGAAATAGATACCTAGAAAACAAGTAAGACTCATCAACGGACTCTCTCTACTCACTTTTTTTTCCATCTAATTCTTTTATGTTCGTTCTAGGATAACAAGATAGTTAGAAATCCTTTATTTTCTCAACCCAATCGCTCTTTTGATTTTGCAAAAAAAATCTTTATCAATATACTCTTTCTTCTACACATTTATCGCCACCCCATAATATTCTTTTTCTTGAAGGGAAATTGACTATTACCAATGCTATTTACAAATAGATATTTAAGAAATTGATGTAATGAAGTGGTAGAGAAAGATATCAAATATTTGGATTTTCTTTTTGTATATTATATGGATGACTCGATCTGCAAAGACCATGATTGAGAATTTTTTGATCATCTTTCTCTAAGGAAGAGGCGAAACATAATCAACTTAAATTCAAGGTAGCTATTCAAAATCTTAGTGAAAGACTAGATTTATTATCTCATATTTGCTTTTTGTGGAAAAATACCAATTAAAGTGGAGGGTTTCTTCAAACAACAAGGAGCTGGGTCAAGTATTCAATCAAATGATATTGAGCATGTTTCCCATCTCTTCTTGAGAAATCATTGACTAACCTTTATTTGCCATTAACAATATCTTTGAATGGATTTCAATTAAAATATCATTGTTTATCCAATTAATCCTTCACGTATCGTTTCATTACATTCACAATTGACATGCTACTTATAACAAATAATTGGCATGATTTGTCCATTATATTTGAAAGTTTTATAAATGTAAAAAAAAATTAATTACACTAATTTAGACGAAGTATGTGCATTAAATTTTATCGATGTGAGTTAATGCTTTATGTGCAATGCATGAGATAGTAAGGGCTAGTTACCCCCCCCCCAAAAAAAAGACCTAAAAATTTATAAAAAAATACTCATAAATTTGCCTTACAAGATTTTAATTGTCATTCTCCCATAATCATAAGAACTTAAAATAAGAAAAATAAAAATATTTAATAATTATATATTAATTTAAAACAAAATCTTTATAATAACATACATGGAGAGGCTCATGATGTATGTGCACATTTGGCCTCCCCTACATACGGATTTGTCAATTGATCTGCTGGTCGCACTTTTTCTTCTTTTTCAAGCCAAACTTTGTTATTTTATTGCTCAAACGGGCTATAACAACCACTTTTGTAATTATCACTAGGTCTTGAGTTTGATCCTTTTATATAGTAGCATTAAATACTTATTGGAAGAACTTGTCACTGTTATGATTCAACTTAACTTGCTTCAGATCAATGAGAGTCTAAAAAGTTCCTAATATCTTTTTCACTTAAAAGAAAGATATATCGTAAAACTTGTTTTAGGGGATATCCAAGAAGTTCTTTATCCTAACATTTTTTTTAAACATAAAAAAATTCTTAAAAATAAAAATTATACATGCCCTAGCCACACTTATGTTTTTGGGTTAAAGGACATTTTACCCATCAATTATTTACTCAGGAGTATTTGATATCCTAAATTTTTATGTGGTATAATTTCGCATTTTCAACATTTGAAAATGGTACATTGAACACTTTGCTATTAAAAAATAAAAATATATTAAGTTAGTTAATAAAAAAAATTACAAAAAAAGGCTTAAAATTTTATAGACATGACTCATAAAATTGTAAATAAATACCCTATAATTAAGAAAACTAATATATATTAAGTATTTAAAATAATGATTGGTCAAAATCATTATTTGGCCTTTTATGCGGGTAAGAAATAGTATTTGTATCTTGTTATTTATATATAATTTAGAAGATTTAATTGATATTAATTTTTTATAGGATACTTATGTTTAATTTTATGGGTCATTTTCTATAATTTATGAAGTCTTTTTTTTTAATAATTTTTAAGCAGTCCAAGTTAATTTTTTAACGACATGAGCTTAATGTATCATTTTCAAATATTGAAGAGTAAAATTTTACCATATAAAAGTTTAGGATATTATCAAATATTTTTGAGTAAATTAAATAGTTGATAGATAAAAATACTAGTTAACCTTTTATTTTTTAAATGGTTTGAAACAGAGTTTTAGAAACACAGTGAACGAGATATTTGTTTTAGATATTTAGGTAATTCAAATATTGGATCTCGTCCTATCTAGTGACATAATTCACTGTTCCTTTAATAATAGGGCAAAGGCATTATATTAAACAAACATGAGAAGTACAAATCTGAAAACATCAACAAAAAGGACAACATGAGACGACCACAAACACACAAAAACATTGGGAAGTTACGACGCAGTAGTGCCACAAGAAATAAACCGAAGGACCCGAGAGAGAAATACACCAAACTTGTAAAACATTACCAACCCACCTACAAGGTTTGCTGTCAAGCATGATTGCAAGAGGAAGATGTTGAAGAATCTGTGAGCAAAGCTCCATCTTGTAACACCACAATAGAGGGAATGCTTTGCAAAATGGTTTGAGTGAGTTCCCTTCATCATCAGTCCAAGAACATGTGGCTTATTAACAGAACAGACATAATGCGAAACCTGGAGGTAAAAATACACATTACATTAAGAAGGAGAAAACGAAGATCATCAACAAAAGTTTGTATTCCAATATTCATACCATACTAAGTATGTTCCTAGCTGGCTTCTTAAAGCTCGTCATGGCCTGGGTTGTTCATGCTTGATCATCAGGATGATCATGTTGATCAAGGCCACGATTTTTGCAAGGCAGTATTGACTTAAGAGAGGGCCAATGTTCAACGATTTTCTTCACACCACCAATTATATAGTCATTAGTTGAACCTGGGGCAAAATTGATAAGTGCATATTGGTCTCCTTTAAAAATGTATGCTTCGTTTGTCCTGTGAGATGCAAAAGCTGCTTCTATTCCACTTTCAAATATAGTGCCTATGAAACTATGAAAGCCTTCGTTAATGCGACGGATGGCAATCTGGGTCTTAGAATTGTAGTTTATAAGAGCATACTGGTCGCCTTTGAATAAGTAAGCTTCATTCCTTGCTGTTGCCCTAAATGCAGCATCTATGCTATTCTCAAAAGCAGTACCCTTGAAGAAGGGAAACATGGCAGCGATTGTCATAGGACCTTGGAGTATTCTGTCATTTGTAGATCCCGGAGCATAGTTTATGCAAGCACAAAGCTTCCCAGAGAATATGAATGCTTCAGTGCCATCAGTGTCAAATGCACAGTCTATTCCGTGTTCACCAAATGCTGTACCAACAAGAGAATGGTAGCCATCACAAATCAAAAGTGGACCATTGATAATCCTGTCATTTGTTGATCCCGGAGCATAATTCACCAGCACATAATCATTTTTCATGAATAAATAGGCTTCATTGGTACTACGTGCACGGAATGCAGCATTGATGTAGCTATCTATATCTTCCACACGATTTGCATACCAATCATATGCATCCCTCGAGACTTGCCTGTTCGCTCTGCTCTCATCATCAAATGGATCAACCTCAACCTTTGTCAGGTCCTTATATTGACCATCAGGAGTTTTGTACTTAGATATAGGCCTCCGTATACGAAGCTCCCTCTCTGGATGCGACTGTGGATTAAAGTAGCGATTCATATATAGTCTGTCATCTTCTCTCTCAACTATTTGATACCTACACACAACAAAAAAGCTATAGAAATTACTCATTACGGTACACAAGCGATACATAATTTACTCAGGAAATGATCATTTTAAAACTAACCGTGATCCAAATGGCTGTGTGATAATGTATGATTGAGCAGAGCGAATGTATTGAGGTACAATGGCACCAATAAAGGTAACTTCGTCTTGAAGAGGGTATTGATGTGGATCACCTAGGATTTGAGTAACCCAAATACCACCAGGAGCATAGATCTCGTAACGATAGACCCACATGGATTGTCCAGCTTGGAGGCTTGGACTTGGACGCCATGAACTGTTAAGTGTGGTGCTAATGAAAGCATGTTTTGCAGGCCTAGCTATTTCAAGAGGCCTACCAGCAAAATGAACAAAGTGATACAAATTGAAGTAAATGGTCGCATTGGTGTTACCTTCACGCCTTGCTTCAAACCCATCACGAAACACTTCTCGATATGGAGTTAAGTCCCAACGAAACACGTGACCTCACGTCTAGCTCATCGTCACTGCTTCTGTAAATGATATCATCAACAACTAGATTTGCCGCAGGACCACTATTCATGTAGTAAACTTGGCTCACCAAAGCTTCAACTCCCAAAAGCTCATCAGCGTAAGGCTGGCGATAGGCTGATGCGCCCCCTCTTCATGGTGAGTCTGCAGGGATTGACATATTTGTAGGATTATGGGCTATGAATGGATTGGCATGTAAGCCGAAAAGTTCAAGAAATCAATATATAGAGTTCATTAGATAATCAAATCAATCCAAAACACGGAACCACGATAGACAGCAATGTGATTTTTTTCACGAGGACGACATGCATATATGCATTCATCCCTTCCAACTATAAAGACGAAATTTTTAATGGAAGATGCGTGCATGAGTGGATAATTTCTCACTACATTGAAAGATATGTTAATATTATCAACACATTCAAAACATCTCAAAGCATTTATCATCTGTTTCTCTCTCACAAGTCCTATAACACAATTATAGTCCCTCCAATCAAAATATAAAACATTGCTAATTAATTTATTATTCTCAAAAAATATTAATTAAAACCTTAATTTTTTTAAAAAATTATATTTTTTAAATTGTATTCTCAATAAATACGCTATATAAAAATTTTGATTATAGTAATTAAAATTTTAATATATCATTTTTTAAAAAGAATAATAAATCAAGTATGAATATATACTTAAAAATTACTCAATATTTTATATTTTGAACTAACTAAAATTTTTAAAAAATATCTTATACTCTCTGGGAGAGAATAGAATTGATCTTCGTTCAGTAAGACAAACATCACTTGCCCCCTGCTTGTCCTTACTACCTCCGTAGTGAAACTAACACTGGGTGTGTGGGGTACTAGGCATTCATATACAAGGGGATCCACATGAAGAAGGTACGATAATAATAAGATTACAAAAGATAAGGACCAACATATTATCAAAAAAGAAAAAAAAGACATGACCGAAATTTCTAGTTTTATTGAATAAAATTTTAATTTTTTTAGCTAAAATATTTTTTAAGTGAACCATTTTTCCCCTTAAATTAGGAACTGTATTATCATCAATAATAATAATAAAAAAAGAAATACTCAAATTTTTCCAGATGTCGGCAGCAACACTTGGGAATATCCTCAGGGGCAATTTGGTCCACTCGGATTATGGCATCGTAAAAGACTCAAATCTTTAATGCCTAGTTTGGTATGTTAGAAATAGTTTTGATAGAAATAAAAATGAAGATGGAGATGAAGATGGAAGTAAAGATGAAAGTGGAGATTTAAAAGTATGTTTACTCATGAAATTGAGAGATTATTTTTATTCAATATTAATATTTAAAATGTGAAAAGACTAAAATGCTGCCATCCTAAAAAAAAATTGCTCACATAGAATCATCATCAACCAACGCCTGAGCTTGCAGCTGCCATGGTGTAAATAATTATTTTCACATTTATAAAAGTGAATGAGAATCCATGTATACAGACGCGATCTAAAACTAAAAGGAAAAATGACAACAAAATCCCCCTAAAATGTATCAACAACAATTTGATCTCTTAATGTCATAATTTCACTGAAATTCTTAAAGACTTTTATGTTATTAATAAACTTATATAAATTACCAAATTATCTTTGTTGAAAATAAAATAATTCAAAATTTTTGTTTAAATAATCATAACTTTTTTTTATATTTGTAATAATGCAATAGCAAATCAGGAATTTAATATGTGAAGTTATAATTTAAATCAGGAATTTAATATGTGAAGTTATAATTTATTGTTACATTGTTGTGAATATAAGAAAAAAGTTGTGATTATTTAAATAAAACTTGTGAATCGTTTTATTTTCAATGAAGGTAATTTGGTAATTTATATAAGTTGATTAATGACATAAAAATCCTTAGAGATTTCAATAAAATTATGACATTTTGAAGGATCAAATTGTCATTGATACATTTTGGGGGGACTTTGTTGTCATTTTCCCAAACTAAAACATGCATGTATATAATATATTTGAAAAGAGATAAAAAAATCTTGATAATACTATGTAGCTTGTATTTTTACACTGTCACATTTTTTTCAAAAAATATTTTATTTGCATTATGAGACATATCCTAACTTTATTAATTAAAAGCTAAATAACCTTAAATTTTTTATAAAAATATAAAATAACATTAATAAATATAATTTATAAAATATTTAAAGCCTTTTACTATTAATTTGATTCTATTTATAAAATGTTTTATAAAAACAAAAACTAATCTTAATTTTAAGGTATTGAATAAAAAGATAAAATAAATTTTAAATTTTACTATTTAATCTAAGTAAACATTTGTACAATAACAAACTATCAACATCTTCTTTTAATTAATAAGAGTATAATTTGAAAGTTAAGAAGGTTTATTTAATCAAATAAGGTAAAATAATAACTGTTTATTAAAACATGGAAAAAAAATATCTAAAACATCTTGTATAAATGAGACAGAAGAAGTGTATATCTATCTATCTATCTTATGAAGTCCACACTATCATCATCTAGTTAATCTAGTTCATATATTTAATGATATAATAAAAGATTAATCTAGTTAATAAAGATTTGACTCATAACTTGTAGAATTATGGATGAAATCCTGCTAACAATACAGGGACGGATCTATGTTTAAGAGAATGGGGGCAAGTACCTACACTAAAATCAATAGTACCTCTTAGTTATAGGGTGAGGGAAATTATCACTTGCCTCCCTAAAATATTGCTCAAGCATCATTTAAGTTTTTGTTTTTTAAAAAATTCAGTCTTTGTTCCTGAACATTTTCTCAGTCTTCAATCAACAAAATTAATGTTATTTGTATTGTTAGCTTTTAGGTGCCAGATTGTTTCCTGTGAGAAGTTGTCTTGTTCCTATTATTTATATAAATATATAAGTTTAGACAAAAATTTATAAAACTCCCTTAAATTTTAATATAGTTGCATGTAACTCTTCCCTACTTTAAACTTTTAAAATTAACGTCTCTAATTTTTTTTTTGTCAAAGCCCCATATTGTTAATAGTTCTATCATCTTATTAACAAAATTTGCCACATCAAGTTAATGAGATACATATGGTACCTAAAATTGAAAAAATATTTAATTATTTTTAATACAACTCAAGAAAGAATCATATCAATAAAAATTTATCCTTCCTTATAATAATAATAGAAAAATATGCACCCATGATAATAGAAAAATATAGATAAATTTTTTATAAAGTTATGAGCTTATGTTGGATGTCACATAACTTGCTATATATCTTTTCTTAATATGAACGACAACTTTTGTTAGTAAAATAGCTAAGAAATAATAGTAAGGAGTCTGAGATTAGAAAAATAGAAAGTTAGGAATGTTAATTTTAAATTTTTAAAGATGAAGGGAGTTTTGTTGCCTTAAAGTTTAGAGGAATTTTGTATATTTTCACCAAATAAACTTATAATAAAAATTTTTTTCAACTTCTCAAATAAAATATTAATTTTTATTTTGTAAAAAATAATACTGTCAGGTTCTTTATTTGTTTATATTGAAAATATTTATTTTAAAAGAGTATGATTCTTTTCATAAAAAAAGATTATTAGCTTATGATCTTAATAGTTACTCCCTCCGTTAAAAAATATAAAGTATTTTTTAAGGAGTTGGATGTTCAAGAATGTAAGGCATTTTTAATCTTTTGAGGTGTAATTATTGTTTTTTTTTTTCAAAAGTGACCCTATTAATAATGACTTTATATTCATTGTAGGATGTTTAATAGGAGTAAATATGGAAAGATAGGGTTAGTTGGAAAGTAGGTAATTATTTTATTGGAGGTAAGATTCGGTTAAAAATGCCTTATATTTTTGAACGGAGGGAGTAATACTTATTCTATTATTTTCAACACAAATTTTGTTTATATTAAGATAATTTATTTTGCAAGGTATTATGATTTTATAGTTTTTTTATTGTTTCTTATGTATTTAAATTTAATGAATTTATTTTTTATTAATTAAATAAATATTTGTAATTATATTTCAAAAATACTAACATGGAAAACAGTATTTCAAAAATATTAATATTTATTTTTATATATTTTGCCCCCAACAACAAAATTTCCTAGGTCTGTCACTATAACAACATAAGGACCTTATTGATGGTGATGTGTAAATACTTTTGTAAGTGCTCATTGAGTTTAGGCATACCATGACCTTAGTGAACTTTCGAAATTTAATTTATCTAAACTTCTTTTAAGGAGAATTTCGTCATAGTAAAGATGGGACTTTACTTCTAATCACTCCAAAAAAAACTTTTAGATTACATTATAGGATCGAAGAATTAAATTGAAATTATGTTTTGTAAAGACATGACTTAGTAATAACTTTGTGAACAATGTGATTTTTTTTAATAGCTTTTATATAAATATTCATATTGAATTCTGTGAGTTTCAAACCCGCATGTCACTCCCGCAAGCTTATTGTTGGTCTAATCTTCCTTGTCATTAGGCAGCTGGGCAAAATTGAGTAGCAATTTGTGGGGAAGAATTAAACATTATCAAAACATTTCTCAGTTCCATACGAACACAACCATCCTAAACACAGTAAGGATCCTGAAAGTATTATTGTATTTTTTTTTCTTTTTACTTTTTCGCTTGATCATAGACTCGAGCTGTACCATAATAGTCCAGATCACACGTTTGGCACTCAAATCGAAATAAGTAACAAATAATAATATATTATGGATCGTTTCTATAAATTAAAAATTTAAATTGAAATTTTTATAATCATAAATTAATTGTTATTGATATTCTATATATATATATATATATATAAAAACACAAAGGAGAATTTTATTTAGAAGATCACCTTTTTATTTTATTTTACATATTTCAATACCATTTTTCCATGCCCAAATAGTCCTTTTTCAAACTCTTTGTATTGTACAATAAATGTTAAAATTTATGCATAACAAATAAAGGTGTTTAAAGTTAATTCAAATTGATCACACCAAACAAAAGTGACATGAATCAATTAAATCAATTATAAATAAAGTTTAATTTTATTTTTAATTTTTTTAGCAAAATCAATTCATTCAGTTCGGTTTAAGTTTTTGTTTCTTGAAATTTGAAGCAAAGCTTATTATATTTATTTTATATATTTTTATAAATTTCTTTAACATTTTTCT